CTACTACTACTACTACTACTACTACTACTACTACTACTACTACTACTACTACTACTACTGCTACTACTACTACTACTACTACTACTACTACTACTACTACGACTACGACTACGACTACGACTACGACTACGACTACGACTACGACTACGACGACTACACTACGACTACACTACGACTACTACTACTACTACTACTACTACTACTACTACTACTACTACTACTACTACTACTACTACTACTACTACTACTACTACTACTACTATTACTACTACTACTGTTACGATTACTTACTACTACCTGCCCCTTCTTACGCCTCCTCCCTCTTCCCTCCTCCTCCTCCTCCTCTTCCTCCTCCTCCTCTTCCTCCTCCTCCCTGTTTCTCATCCATCCTCCGTCTCCTTCCTCCATTCCCTTTTTCTTTCAACAACTCTTCTCTTTACAACAACTCCTCATTTGCCCGAGGCCAATCGGGAAGGGCAGGCTGGACGCTTCGCCTGAGATTTCGTCACCATGTATGATGAGGAAGCTTAAACATTGCAACGCCTTCACAGATAGAGGGCGGGTGGTTTCATTAATGAAGCTCTCGCCTTTGCGCCGCGCACATCCTCTTGAAAGTCCCACCACCCCTCTGGGCGTAGGTGGACTAGAGAGCTTTCTCTTCCACCCCCCTTCTTCCCCTTCGGGGAGGGGCTAATCACTGTTCTATGATAACAGACACCCCCTCCCACAGGCGACTGCCGGCCAACCAGGAACCATGAGGGACCCCCCCCACCACCATCCCTATCAAAAAAATTAGCCTGGCAAAGGACACAACCATATGCAGTTGTGAATACCGTCGTTGTGAGTATCGCATTCGATGGTACTCTCTATGGGCCAAGAAGCGCTGTCCTGCGTGGGGGAGACGCATGCGAACTGTGCCACTGGGACTTCGGTGGGGCTCCCTCTGGGGCTACGAAACGCTGTCCTGGGTGGGGGAGACGCATGCGCCCCCCCCACACTGGGGCCTTCGGTGGAGCTCCCTATGGGGCCACGAAACGCTGTCGTGGGCGTGGGGGATGCATGCGGCCCCCCCCACTGGGGCCTTCGGTGGAGCTTCCTATGGGGCCACGAAACACTGTCCTGGGCGTGGGGGACGCATGTGGCACCCCCCTCTGGAGCCTTCGGTGGAGCTCCCCATGAGGCCACGAAACACTGTCCTGGGCGTGGGGGACGCATGTGGCCCCCTTCCCACCGGGGCCTTCCGTGGAGCTCCCTATGGGGCCACGAAACGCTGTCCTGGGCGTGGGGGGCGCATGTGCCCCCCCACACTGGGGCCTTCGGTGGAGCTCCCTATGGGGCCACGAAACGCTGTCCTGGGCGTGGGGGGCGCATGTGGCCCCCCCCACTGGGGCCTTCGGTGGAGCTCCCTATGGGGCCACGAAACGCTGTCGTGGGCGTGGGGGGCGCATGTGGCTCCCCACACTGGGGCCTTCGGTGGAGCTCCCTGTGGGGCCACGAAACGCTGTCCTGGGCGTGGGGGACGCATGTGGCCCCCCCCACTGGGGCCTTCGGTGGAGCTCCCTATGGGGCCACGAAACGCTGTCCTGGGCGTGGGGGACGCATGTGACCCACTAGGGCCTTCGGTGGAGCACCCGATGGGGCCATGAAACGCTGTCCTGGGCGTGGGGGACGCATGTGGCCCCCCCCACTGGGGTCTTCGGTGGAGCTCCCCATGGGGCCACGAAACGAATCAGCCATGGCGATGCCAATGATGACGATGATGACGATGATGGTGATGATGATGATGATGATGACGATGATGATGACGATGATGATGATGGGAGGAGGGGGTGAGCTGAGACATGCGGAGAGCAAAGGCAAGGATGGGGGAGGAGGGAGGAGGAGAGGAGGAGGAAGGAGGAAGGAGGTGGGACGCGGGGCGCTGTCTCTTCAAAACGAAGACCCAACACCACAGGATGGTTGGGAACAATACAAACGCACCCTGCCTCCAAATCCGGAGCTTGCGCAGCCAACCCGACACGGCCCCCGCAACCATACCTGTCAAAAAACAATGCAAAGTATACTTCGGGGCAAAGTCTGGAGTCATGATCGTGAGGCCCGCGAGCACGTTTGATTGCCTGCTGCGCGCAGGGCTACCATCCCTGACAAAACACAAAACCAAATGCACCTCGCGGCTACATCTGGATCATGCGCGGCAACCCCGCGACCATTGTCAAGTGGTTTCTCACAGGGGCGGCGGGGGTGGTAGCGTATGGCCTGCTGTGCAGTGGTTTTCGGCACGAATGGTGGGGACCGACACGTTTCCCGATGTGTGCTTTCACGTGCGCAGGCGCACCTGACACACTCTGCACGTGCCCCGAACGTGGCGCACCCAGCGCGGCTGGAGTATGCGGCACACCTGGCGCACGCGGAGGCACGTGGCGCATCTGGCGCACCAGGCGTGCCTGGCACGCTCAGGCCCCAGGGGTGCCTGGCGCGCGTGGCGCGCCTGGCACGCGTGGCGCACCTCGCCCCAGCGTCACGCACATGGACTCGGTTTCGGTTCCCAGTAGCTGCCCATCCAAAGACAACCGCTGAACATGCTGAGGCTCGAGTGTTACTGATGTGTTGGGAGGGCGGGTGGGAATGAGCTACACGGTTTGCTATGAGGAGGGTGTCTTGACCCCTTCACAATTACTCAATATGAAAATACTCCCCCTCTTCCCCTGATGGCGTCCGGGTGATGGCCGCGCACCCTCCGCGTACTGTTTTTTTACACAGGATCGCCGGGAAATCCCGGGAAACGACTCTCGCTGAGGCGCCGGCGTCATTTTTTCCCAAAATGCTGCTCTCGTTGAGGCGCCGGCCTCATTTCTGCTCCCGAATCGTTCCGAATCGTGCTCCCGCTGCAGCGTGGGCCTCATTTTCGGATCGGTGTTTGGCCTCCGTCGTTCAGGATGGCGTTCTCGCCCCAGCGCGGGCCTTTTTCTCGCGCGCCCATCCGCCCGCCACCACCGCGCCGCACCCACCACCCACCACCACCACCACCACAACCACCACCAGCACCAGCACCACCAACACCACACCACCACCACCACCACCACCACCAGCACCACCACCACCACCACCATCACCACCACCACCACCACTACCACCACCACCACGACAACCACGCACACGCGCACGCACGCACGCACGCACCACCACTACGCACGCGCGCGCGGAGCCACAGGTCCGCTACGACACGCGTCCGCGGATAGAGAAAATCAGCGCCATGGTAAGGGATGGGAGGGAGGGGTAGGACGTCAGATATGACGCGAGCGCACCTAGCTTGCTCATACCCCCTCCCCTGGACCTGGACGGGGGGGGTCGCGACGGGTTGGAGCGTCCAAGATGGCCCAAGACGGCTCCCAGAGCGCCTCAGAGAGCTCAAGATGACATCCAAGATGGCTCAGCCCAAGATGCCCCAAGATGACTCCCCACATGCTCTAAGAGGCCCCAAGAACGCCGCAAGACGGCTGGCCACGAAGCCTCCCCAGGAGGCCACCAAGAGACCAAGATTCTTCCGAAACCTAAGGAGAATGAATGGTTCTTACGTTCTCTCATTTTCGCTTCCGATGGCCTTCCGAAGCCTCAAGCTCCAAGAGGGCCCATGAGGGCCCCAAGAGAGGCCCAAGAGAGCCCCATGACGGCCCCAAGAGCGCCCAAGAGCGCTCCAAGAGTGCCCAAACAGGGGCCCAAGAGGCGATGTTTGGGGCTCTCGAGGTAGGGTCGTAATTGGAGCTCACATCTGTCTTGATCGATCTCCCCCAAGATGGCCCCCAGTGCGTTCACAAGGCTTCCAGGAGCGCCTCAAGGGGGCCCCAAGAGGCGCCCAGGCGGCCCCAAGAGGTCACTGACGCACAGGAGCTTGCCCAGAACGGCCCAAGAGGCCCCCAAGACGGGTCCAAGAGGGCTCCAAGACGGCCCAAGAGGCCTCCAAGACGCCCAAGATGGCATCCAAGACTGCCCTGGAGCACTTGTTCCTTTCCAACTCGAGGGGTCCAGATTCAAGCGAGCACTGGATAGCACTGCATTCGTAACTGAAGCGATGCGTCACCAGGATGCCTCCTAGAGGACTCCAAAATGCCTCCAAGAGGCCCCTCGGAAGCTCCCAGGAAGCCACAAGAGTGCCCCCAAGGGCTCCCAAGATGCCCCCACCTCCTCCTACTCCTCCTCATCCTCCTCCTACACCTCCACCTCCTCCACCTCCTTCTCCTTTTCCTCCTCCTGATATTCCCCGCCATCCTCCTCCAACTGTTCCCCGAAGGGTGTCCACAATGACTGGGGGAGCACATGGTCCGATAGCTTGGCTGAGCTCTTGCCACAACGTTCGGCCACATGGGCGATTCCAAGAGGCAAGGGGCGGCGGTGATTCGCCGTAGGCGTCTTCGATGGAAATATACGTGTACATACGGTCCAAAAAACAGTAAACTACACGACGTGGACTAAAGAGTCTCGTACATAAAGTCTGCATGCGCAATGACGGGATCGAACGATAAGGAGGTAGCGTTCCATGTAGTGGTGAGGGGAAGTGGGTAAGTACAGATCGCTGGATCGATCTCGAATGAAGTATGTTTCTCAGAGGCTTCGAGCTAGCATGGTAGCCCATGCGCCGCCCGGGCCCAGCACCATAATACATCTCCCAAGCAGTTACCAATATGGCAGGCGGCTCCATCATCCTTTGTCCTATCCAGCAGTGACGCTGCGTGGTTGATCAAGCTCCCTCCAGGTTCATCGTGTCCTACAACTGTAGCTCGCAACACCTGGCCAGCTGCTTAACTGGCTGCGAAAGATCACGTGATGCAGCACCGCGCGCATGGCGACCTTCGGAATCGGCCCTGCGTATCACAGCTCGACGAGCGACGAGAGCGCGTCGTGCCACTGACAACAGCCCGCGTGCACATAAACGGAGTCCATCTTGCCGGCGTCCTCGGTGACCAATTCTCTCGCCCGTCCCGCCGAGTAGCACCGTACGAACCCTAACCTTCTCGCGCAAGCTGGTTTATCTGACGCGCCCCAGCTCCAAGCGCAAGGCACAGATTGTCCAGCAACCACAGGGCCCACTTCCATTGCCCGCCTTTCTCGCACGCGCTGATGACGGAACTGAAGACGCAGGAAGACTCCCCGTCCGCGTGCCCGCGTGGGCATCCCCCCGTGGGAGAAGGGCGGTGGACGGGGGGAAGGGGGGACAGAGGGAAGGGGGAAGCGGAGGGGAGGGGCGGAAGGGAAGAGGGTGGAGGGGGCAGGCGAAGGGAGGAAGAGAGGGGAGGCGAGGGGGGGGAGAGGGGGGAAGCGGGCAGGGAGGGGGAGAAAGGGGAGAGGGGCAAGCTGGGCGCGCTCGCGCCAGGTCCGACATCCGACCCCCATCGCCAGTCCCTGCTCCCCGCTGCGCTGCGGTTGCTCGCACAGTGGGCCCGAGCTCCCAAGAAACAGACCGTCGTGGCACGCAGAATCGGAAAGGGGGAGCTGAGCAGAAGCAAAAGAGGGAGGATGAGGAAGGAGGAGGACGAAGACGAACAGCTGCGGCGGGAACTGGAGTGGAAGGAGCGGGAGGAGCAGGAGGACCACAGGAAGGCGGAGGAGGGGAAAGGAGGGGGGAGACAGCGATGAAGGACACAGATCCAGCCCGCGCTGGGGCGAGAACGCCATTCTGAACGAAGGGAGCAATGCGCTGGTCCGAAAATGACGCCCACGCTGCAGCGGGAGCAAAATTTCGACATACCGAAAACAGTCGGAGTTCAAAAACCTATGAAAAACACAATTGGTGGATCCTGTGTACACATCATACGCGGAGAGGGCGGGACATATCCCAGACAGTCAGGGGACAGAGGATAACTACATCATATGTAATTTCTTAAACTAGAACCACGCGCGCGGTTCGCGCGCGTAGGTTCTAGCAAGCTTTAGCTGTAGCCTAAGTCTTCGACATCGGAGGACATGCGACGCAGCTCCACCGACGGCCCCAGAGACAGGCTTGGCTTAGCGTCCCCCCGCCCATACCGGCACACCCTTCACATGAATCGCGCCCCACAGGGAGCTCGACCTACGTCCCCAGAGACAAGGTTTGCAGAGTGGCACGCCCCTCACGCGGATCGTCCATCACAAGTAACTGCATCTGCGGCACCAGAGGGAAGCTTCATAGCGTCGCTCGCTTCGGTACACTTTTCACAGATCGTGACCCACAAGGAGTTCCACGGACGGCCCCAGAGACAAGATTCGCATCCCGACCCCCTGCCTACTTCGGCACACCTCTCACACGGATCGTGGCCCACAGGGCCGCAGGGAGCTCCATCTGAGGCCCTAGAGGCAGGGTTCGTATTGCGCCCACCCCCTTGGCCATTGCGCACACCCCATCACACGGATCGCTCACATAAGGAGCACCACCTACAGGCCCAGAGACAAGGTTCGTACAGCGCCACCCCGCCCATGTCGGCACACCCGTCACGCGAATCATGCCCCAGAAGGAGCTCCACCTATGGCACCAATGGTCATTGCCAATGGTCAGCTTTGCATGGCGTCCCCCTGCCCCTTTCGGAACATGCCTCGCACGGGTCGTGCCCGGAGGAGGTCCACCTGGAGCCTGCGGCCTCAATGGGCGTGTTCGCGCGAGGGCATCCGAATTATTCGGCACACCCGTCACAGAATCGTGCCCCACATGAACTTCAGGCCCAGCGGCCTTGGGGCCCACTAAAAGCGGAGGGCTCGAAATATCAGTTGGAGTTCCCCTTGCTGGATCCCTCTTGGGGCCCTCTTGGACCGTCTTGGGCGCCTCTCGGACCTTCTTGGGGCTCTCTTGGGCCGTCATGGGGCCCTCTTGGGGACCTCGGACCTTTGGGGGCTCTCTTGGGCCGTCCTGGGGCCCTCTTGGGGGCCTCTTGGGCTGTCCTGGGGCGATGGGTTGGACGTTGTTGAAACCCTGAATGCGAACATGCTAAAAAAATGCGTTTGCCGCCGGGGGAAATCATTTTGGCCTCCTGGGGCCCTCTCGGGGCTTATCCTCGAGCCTCTTTAGGACGTCTTCGGGGCTTCTTGAGCCATCTTGAAACAATATTCGCTGAGCATTACCTTAGGGTGGAGGGCTCAGGGTGAAATCCATATGGGCTTCTGCTCCTCGAAACTCAATCCGTCCTATGATTCGCCTTTTGCAGATTCAAGCCTCGAAAATCCATCGAAACGGCCTTGCAGATTTCACCCGTTGCCCTCCACCCAAAGAAAATGCTCGGTTTCGCGCGCCTTGGGCCTTGTCACAGGCCGCTCTGGTCGCTTTCTGGTGGCCTCCCAAGCTGCTGTGAGCGGCGGGGGGGAGGCCCGGGAAGCCCCAGAAGGTGCCAAAGATGTCGTGGCCCAAACAGGAGGGGGGGAAAAAAACCGGGACCCTGAGATCCGACGCAGCGAAAACAATACAGCATTGTAAGGAATCACGCCCGCAGCCCTAGGCCCTATCTTTCTGCGCCATGTTTCGAGCCAGATCGATATGTGAGGGTCCCAGGGCCCGAGATCGAGCGAAGACGCCCGCTGTTAGAAAATTGCAGCGCCAGGATCTCAGGAGAGGGTGCCAGCCCAGCCCTGGGCCCCCGGTACAGCGGCACATTGTATGTGAAGGGAGGGGAGAAGACAGGGAGCGGAGGGGACAGAGAGGGGGCCAGGGGCAAGGTGACAGGGGACAGGGGAGTGAAGAGGGAAGGGGAGAGGGACGGCGAAGAGAGGGGAGGGGACGGGGAGGGAGACAGGGGTGGAGGCAGGGAGGGGGAGAGGGAGACACAGGAGGGGAGGGGGGGGGGAAAGCAAGAGCTGAGGGGAAGAAGGGAGGGATAACGGAGGGAACAGGGGAGCAGTAAGGAGAGGGGGCACAACGACGGGAGGGGAGAACAGGGGAGAGGGAGAGACGGGGATAGGGATCGCAAGGAGAAGAGAAGTCAGGAGAGGGGAGAGGAGCAGGGAAGACCGGAGAGAGGAGAGGGTCGTGGAGAGGAAGGGGAAGGGAAAAATTGGAAGGGGAGGAGAGCGAAGGAGAAGGGGGAGGAGAGGAACAGGTGAGGAGTGGAGGCGGTGAGGGGAAGGGAGGGGAGCGGATGGGAGGCGAGGCGAATCAAGGAGAGGGAGGGAAGCGGAGGAGAAGCGGAGATGGGGAGGAGAAAAGGATGGAGCGGGGAGGGAAGGGGAGGGAAGAGGACACAAGGAAAGCAGGGGAGGGGAGGGAGGGGAATAGAAGGGGGATCGAAGGGGCAGGGAATGAGAGGCGAGGACAGGGAAGGGAAGCCCACACTGGCGGACCGAATGCGAGTCTCCCCGATGGCAGCGTCCGCTTCAAGGCTCGACTCCCAGAGCTCGCCGAGCAAGGACAGCGCCCGCTGCCACGAGCCTACGCTGGCGTATGCATCGACTCCAGCAGCGCAGCAGAAGAACGGGAGCACATGCTCCGCACCAGCACGGCCTCTTCTCGAAGGACCAGGGACAGGACGTGATAAAGACAGTCAGGTCGCATTATGATGAGGCGCGATAAGGATGCAAGGGCCATGGAGGGCCATGTTGGCGTATTCGAACGAGGCTGGCCAGCGAAAGTTGTAAAGGACGGGCCGAAGGGGCAACGATGCAAAACTAGCCTTGGAAAATTGATTATCCTTACTATGAGACTTGACTGCAGTGCAGGCCAGTCCACAAGAAGCCTTCCACAAGAAATCCAACCCTGAGACCCCAGGGCTGCCATTGATTTTTTGGTGTGGGAACGTCACGTCCTCCACGACAAGACCATCGACACCCAAGAAACCCACGACACCCTGGAGGCAAGCAGGGTGTTTCTTGGTATGGGTCCCCACTATATATATATGTGTGTGTGTGTGTGTGTCACTGCACCGACCTTGCAGACGTGCTGCAGCGGATTTTGCACGTGGATTTCTGTCAACGCAAAAGCCCAAAACGGCGAGTGAAAAACGAAGTGAACTTCGCATGGATTTGTTTGCTTGACTTCATTCCTGGCCAAAAAAACCGTACGAAATTAACCTCGGAACGAAATTATCCAGGACACTCCAGGCCATCCCATCGTTTTCCGAACGAAATCCGCTTTGCGATGTTGGCGCCGTTATACATATATGTGTATATATATATGTATATATGTATATATGTATATATATATGTGTATATATATATGATCCCAAAAAGAAAGCCTGCAAACACAAACAAGCATGCCGGCCTGCACGGACCCCTCCCGTGCAGCAAAGCCACGGGTGCCACGGGTCGGTCGTTCTGGCGGAGCCTTCCCATGGGGGAAACGGGAGGAGGGAGGACCACAGGAAACTCAGGACGCATCAACGATACTGCAAAAAAAACTCCAGCTCCACGTCCCAGTCCAATGAATTCCTATAGCCGTTCCATCTCAGACCCGTGAGCCTACCGCTCAGGAGAGAGACCTCTTTTCAAAAGGAGCCGCCAATGCGCACATCTGATGCAAATATCACCCGTGTGCTTCCAAAAATTGAGCAAGCCTCAGGCGAATTCAGCCATGCAGTTGCTGCACAATTGACCAAACAAACAGTCAGCATCATGGAATAATAGGATGACTCAAGCAGGAGCCCGAAATTGAAAAGGGAAGCACCCTCCATCCGTATGACTGCTGGAGGGTGTTAAGAAAATTGTGGGCGGCATTACGGCGAGAGGCGCATTTTGAAAACGACCCGCCCTCCATCCGTCCGACTGCTGTCTGGTCGTTGTACACAAACGGAGGGCGCTGAGGCGACATCGACATTTCAAAAACCATTCGCCCTCAATCCGTGCAGCTGCTGGAATCCTGATTACCGAATGCGCGCGGCGCAAAGGCCAGAGCACATGTTGAAAACGACGCGCCGTCCACCAGCGCAAAAGCTGGACATTTCAAGATTTAGCACGGTCAGCGGCGAGGAAAGTCTCAAGCCAAACTCTCCGCCCTCAATACCAGCTCGCCTGGTGGTGCGACAAGGTGAACACTGCAAGGAAAGGGGATGGAGGGAGGGAGAGAGGAGTCAGGAACAGGAGGAAGAGACCACCGAGGGAGGTGGCAGCCCCAGCGGGTGGCATGGTGCTCCCTGGGTGAGCGAAAGAGCAGATTACCGTTCCCCCCTGGACGGTCGCCGAGGCTGGATACAGAAGACGCGTCGCGACGACGAGTCGAGGAGATGTACGACTGGCCCTACTACCACCAAAAATACCGCTACTACAAATACTGCTACTACAATGGCTACAACCACTACTACTACTACTACTACTACTACTACTACTACTACTACTACTACTACTACTACTACGACTACTACTACTACTACTACTACTACTACTACTACTACTACTACTACTACTACTACTACTACTACTACTACTACTACTACTGCTATTACTCTACTACTACTACGATTACTACTACTACTAACTACTACTACTACTACTACTACTACGCTACGTACTACTCCTACTACTACTACTACTACTACTACTACTACTACTACTACTACTACTATACTACTACATGCTACGGCTACTACTCCTGCTACTCCTATACGTCCAATACTACTACTACTACTACTACTACTACTACTACTACTACTACTACTACTACTACTACTACTACTACGCTACTACTACTACTACTACTACTACTACTACTACTACTACTACTACTACTACTACTACTACTACGACTGCACTACTACGACTATACTTTTACTACTACTACTACTACTACTACTACTACTACTACTACTACTACTACTACTACTACTACTACTACTACTACTACTACTACGACTAATACTTTTACTACTACTACTACTACTACTACTACTACTACTACTATTACTATTACTACTACTACTAATAATAATAATAATACGAGTACGAATACGAATACGAGTGCGAATGCGACTACGGCTACTACTACTACTACTACTACTACTACTACTACTACTACTACTACTACTACTACTACTACTACTACTACTACTACTACTACTATTTCTACTATTGCTATACTAAAAAAACTATTGCTTCGTCTACTACTTACTACGACTACTACTACTACTACTACTACGACTACTACCACTAATACTACTACGACTAGACTACGACTACGACTACTACTACTTTACTACTACTACTACTCTACTACTACTTACTGCTACTACTACTACTACTTACTACTATACTACTACTCCTACTACTACGACTACTACTACTACTACTACGAATACTACTACTACTACTACTAAGCTACTACTTACTCCCCTACTACTACTACTACTACTACTACGACTACTAAGACTACTACTACTACTACTACTACTACTACTACTACTACTACTACCACTACTACTACTACTAATGCTACGAACGATACTAATAAGAATAATACCGCGTCAACGACGACGACGACGACGACTACTACTACAACTACTACTACGGCTGCTACTACAACCACTACTACGACGGCGCCGACCACTTTTACATTTACTACCACGACTACTACTACTACTACTAGTACTACTACTACTACTACTACTACTACTACTACTACTACTACTACTACTACTACTACTGCTACTACTACTACTACTACTACTACTACTACTACTACTACTACTACTACTACTACTACTACTACTACTACTACTACTACTACTACTACTACTACTACTACTACTACTACTACTACTACTACTACTACTACTACTACTACTACTCACTACTCCTACTCCTACTCCACTCCTACTCCTACTCCTACTCCTACCTACTACTACTACTACTACTACTACTACTACTACTACTACTACTACTACGACTACGACTACGACTACTACTACTACTACTACTACTACTACTACTACGACTACTACTACTACTACTACTACTACTACTACTACTACTACTACTACTACGACTACTACGACTACTACGACTACTACGACTACTACTACTACTACTACTACGACTACTACTACTACTACTACTGGCGGTCTCGTGCACCACATCACCACGGCTCAACCACCTAGGGAAGAGCGTCCTTGTGGCTGCCTCATTGCCAGTCTGTAACGGGCACCTCTTATGGGTGAAAGGGTGGGTCTGACGTGCTTGCAGCGCCAGGCGCTTGTGGCGAGGGCAGCTGGCCCCAGCGGCCCAAAGTGAAGCGCCAGCGGCGGCGCAGCAGCACACGGGGCGACCCCAGCACCGCCATCCAGGCCACCTAGCGCGAGAAGGCGCGAGGAGAGGCCAGGATGGCAAGCCAAGGGCGGGCCTGACGTGCATCCAGCGGCAGGCGCCTAGCCGAGGGCAGCTGGCCCCTACAGCCCAAAGTGAAGCGCAAGCGGCGGCATAGCAGCACACGGGGCGACCCCAGCACCGCCACCAAGGCCTACTAGCGCAAGAAGACGCGAGAGGAGGCCGAGATGGCAGGCCAAAATGGCCAGGCGCCCGACGGCGACGCGGCAGTACACGGGGCGGCCCCAGCACCGCCAGCGAGGCCCACGGGCGCAAGTGGGCGTGAGAGGAGGCCAAGATGGCCAGCCAGTTGGCGGGCCAGAGTAGCTAGGCGCACGGGCGACCACGCGCCGCGCAGAGGCTAAGGCCACAGGCGCAGCCACACGAGGGGGGGTGCCACTGTGGGCGCGCCCCCCTACTGAGCATGGCATGCTAGACATCTTGGCAGGAACTCACGTTGCCTGTCGAGGGCCTAGTGATTGCTGGGCTTCATCATTCAGGCAGGCTGGCCCGCCCCCTGCGCAATGGCCGCGAAGACCTGCGACGGCAGCGCCTGCACTTCCCCACCGAGGTCACCGCTGCCGCCCGCCTGCCCTGAGGGCCCAAAGATCTGGCGCTCGAGGTCCTCACGGAGGGCCACGTTCAGGGCTGCAGCATTTGGGATCTGCTGCGGGAGCGGGTCGTCTGCGGCGGCGGGCCCGTCGGCGGCGGCGGCTCCACTGGGGGAGCCGCCCACCGCGGCGGCGGAGGGGGGGCCATGATGGCCGCGGTCGCTGGCGGGACCCCGACAGGCGGTGGTGGCGGGCCCTGGCTGCCGCGTGCCCCAGGCGCTGGCGGCGCGGACGGGGATGGCACGCGGGGCGACCCCTGTACCACCCCCGCCGCCCGCGAGGCTGCCCTCCCGCCGGTTGTGGCGGCGCTCATAAAGCGCCAGCTCCCTGCACGCCATCTCCAGGCGCTCCCTCTTGGCCTTGTTCCGCGCCTTCTTGCTGTATCCCACCCACTCTGGGTCGTTCAGCCCCCTGGCGACCTGCGCGTAGAGGTCGGACCACTTGAACTCGGCCATGCCCCCCCAGGTGAGCCCCTCCATGAACACATAGTGGCCCTCCCACTGCGGCTGGTGTGGAGCGTAACACATGAAGACGGTGCACACTGCCAGCGGCTCGATCTTGGGCAAGTACTGCAGGAGGTCCACCGC